GAAAAGCATGCCAACCAAACTGCAAATCATGTCCTTCCAAATTGAGTAGTCTATCATTTTCCAAGGTTATCCATTCCTTTATCCAGTCTAATACACAGAATCTGTAATACAAAACCCAATCTGGAAGATCAAAACCCACTCTCTGTTTGGCATGCTTTAATTTTGATTCCTGGTTTTTATCTTGCCACACAAATCTCATAATTATTTTATTAAGGTCTTGAAAAAAGAACTGTTTTAATATTATGGAAATTGTCTGAAATAGAAATAAAAATTTAGGTAGAACATTCATTTTAATGGTTGTTATTCTTCCCATCAATGATAACTGTAATTTGTCCCAGGAAGGTATGATAGCATTTTTCAAAGACTTGAAATTTTTTCATAAATAAGAAAATGCAGGACATGTAATAATGGGCTCAAATTACAGGAAGCCAAATTTTGCTTGAATATCAGGGAAAACGTCCTAACTGTTAGGGCAGTATGGTTATGGAACCAGTTATCTCATGAGGTGGCAAGCACTCCAACTCTGGAAGCATGTAAGAGAAAATTGGACAACGATCGGCCAGATCTACAGAGGTACCTTGCTTTACGAAAGCCTCGGTTTACATAATTTTTTGTTTACGAACCGAAATCCATAGAAAATAATGCCCCCGTTTACGTTCTTTTTCTTTCCCTCCCTCTGTACGAAAGGGTTTCCCCAAGATGCATTGCGCCTGGAGGTTTCTAGCGCCACCCCTGTTCCTATTGCAATCCATGTATTGGTTTATGAAATTTTTGCATGACGTAACATCTCGGAGGATGCATTAATTTTGTAAACCAAGGTACGCCTGTATTTCAAATTGGATTCCTGTTTTATGAAATTTCTGCATGACGTAACATCTCGGAGGATGCATTAATTTTGTAAACCAAGGTATGCCTGTATTTCAATTTGGATTCCTGCACTGAGCCGGGGGTTGGACTTGATGTCTTTATAGACTTAATGTCTTCCAACTCCATTATCCTATGATTCTATGGAATACACTAGTTAACATTTCTAAGCTGTCAGGATACTGACAAGGATGAGATGTATGGAACATATTAATCTGGTATGACGATTCTTTTCTACATGGCAGTATATAGCAGCTTAACGCTGAGACTTAAGTTAAAATATTTAAAATAAAAACTATAAATTATAACACTTCATAGATACCATTGCTGTCAATTTAAATACTGTATCTGAAATACTGTATTTACCTTTAAATCACCTAAAGCCTTGCCAGAACAGAAATGTGTCTGGTTTTACTGCTTTGTAGTATATAACTACTGACTCTAACAAAGGAGAAGTGGGGGTGAATACTATTGTTTGTAATTCTAAGTGGAATTGTTCTGGGACATTTTATTTACCCGTACTAGTACAAAGTACACATCTGAAATGCTTCTAGAAATGGTAGCATTAAAAATATCAAGGATGGTGAATGATTTGGTAAACAATAAAAGCTATAATTAAGGCCAACCCCAGAGACACTGATGGAAGCAATCTGAGCAAATCTAAAACAAAACTGACCTTTAAATATTAGTACTGTGCCCTCCTAAATATGTTTTCAGATTCAACTTCCTCTGCTTTAGTTTAAAGTTTAATACTTATAGGAGATTTGTGAACTTGTGGATTCATATGGTTATTTCTAAATTCATTCAACAATGTACAACTAGTAAGGTAAAGATATTAATAAACTAAAGTGGTAAGCCAGCACTTCCAATCTGTGCCTTAAAGAGTTCCAATTGGCAGGAGTTGTAGAAGCGGGGGTGCTATGGAACAGAATAATTTTGATTTGAAATCCTGACTTTCTCAGCAAACTCAAGTTGCTAGGGAGCTCATCTGGCAGATGAACTTATTCCAACTCTGTCCAAACAAAAGAAAGCCTCTCCCTTTTATTTCTGGCATATGTCTCATAAAATGTAAATGGAAAATGATTCCATTTAGATCCAAAATTAAAACCCTGTAATACAGAAGCCTCTAAATATACAGTACAATCTTCTTTAGTGGAGAAAATCTGCATTTTCTCAAATGTGCACAGATACTAACAGCATTTACTAAATGGACTTTTACAAATCACCTATGTATGAAGGAAAACTAACAGCGGTAAATCCAGTGTGATGTATCAGACAAAGTGATGAACTTAGGATTCAGGACACCTGGGTTCATATCCCCACTCAGCCACAGAAACTCACTGGGGGTGTTTGTGGAAATAGTAAAACCACTCCTGAAATGTCTCACTTACCTTGAAAGTCCTGTTATCATGTTTCCCCAAAAATAACACAGGGTCTTATATTAAATTTTGCTCTAAAAATGCATTAGGGCTTATTTTCAGAAGATGTTTTAATTTTTTTATGTACACCAATCTACATTTATTCAAATACAATAATGTCATCTTCTGGTTGCTAAACAATGATGGAGGGCAGGGTTTCACTTAACTGGGGCTTATTTTTGGGGTAGGCTTATATTACGAGCATCCTGAAAAATCATACTAGGGCTTATTTTCAAGTTAGGTCTTATTTTTTAGGATCCAGCTTGATAGCACTTAACATAACAACAGCATTAAGTAAATACAGCAGTTAGAAACTGGAAATTAGTTTATAAACTTTTTAGTCACTAAAGTATTTGAAATCTAGTTATTAATTCATAAACTTTTCTTCAGTGACTAAATTATTTTTCAAGGTTTTTTAAGTAAACAAAAGGAGCAAATGTTTTAATTATGTAAAATTACATAAAATACATGCCAACCTGCAATCCATGTGCATGCATTTCAAAAACAAAAGTCATTATCACAATTTTGACACAACTGGTTTTTTCTTCACACGTTTCTTTGAAGATATTTACATTTTCCTCAAATAATTGTTTAATTTAGTTCTGTTTTTCCTAGAATTTGTGTGTGGCTTTCAGAAATATTAAAATATGAAATTATAGTTTTGTTACTGGATAATTGTAAAAACAAAATAGTCTGCTGCAGTGTTTGTATTTTCCAATTTACTTCATGTTAAATCTATTGTGTCAACTACAGAAAGATTTATTTCAAATGGATGTTAAGAAAGTCGATACAAAGTAATTGAACTTAGCTTAAGTTTTTCTTTCAAACTACTTTGTACTAACAAATTCAAGCAGAGAGTATTTTAACATTTGAGATTTAACAAAGAATACATACTCCACACTAGGTTAAAGTTGTATCTCACAGACATCTGAAGCTGATAAGAACAAACCAGCAATTGTCATATACTGTAATTCTAAATCATCATTTTGCTGTCGCCTCATGTTTGTGAGCAAATAGCTGAATAAACAAAGATGTAGTTAGATTGCTTTCCTATGGGCCGTGGACTCAAATATTGCATTTGATTCCACTCCTCCTATTTACATGATTTATTCTTGTTTCTTCTGGCTGCCTTCCATGGTGACCACTTGACCTTGATTTTTTGCCTCATTCTCACTGGTTTTCCACGTGAGATCTTGGCTTCCTGATTCAGCACTAAATTTCAAGCAGCAGACTTAGCTTGGCTCTTAGACCACTTGACAGTGTACATATGTCAGCTTCTTACAAGATCCTGTCTCTTGGATCAAGTTCTGAATATGTTTAGGTCTAAATTTAATTTAGTTCCCTAGCCTAAGCACATGAAATCCTTTTGCAATTTAGACAAACAATATTTTGGTTGCCTGAATGATACCAGGCAATGTAACACAATGCAAAATACATTCTACTCCTGTATTTACCATAGGCTATGTCTGAGCTAGCATACTGTGTCCCTTTAGATCACTACTTTTTAAACAAGATAGGAATAAATGAGAAAAATTCAGACTGACAATAAAGAATAATGCAGTAAAACATGAAGCTTTACTGAACAATGGGTGAAGATAAAGGACTTTCGTATATGTGAGGTAGAGGGTTTCTTTTGAGTCCCGCTTGGTTTACATATATTATTCTTGTGAAAGAAAAGCAAGAGAGCAAATCAGTATTTTGACCAAGTTTTACATTCTCATACACATTCAAATGAAGGAAGAGCTGCTTCAAGCAATCTGTGTGAAAACACCCTAAAAACTTATTTTATACGCTTCCTGGAAATTTTAAGGGGAAAATCAGTATGCATCATTCAGTTATGAACTAAGATAGAGAATCCTGTGATTGCAGATATTTTGACAGAATAAACAATTGTTTCTCCTTCAGTTATTTTGTTTCTGTTCCAGTCCGGATCTTGATTTTCAAAGCTCATTTATATCCCACTTTTCTTCTGTCATGGAAAACAAATTATTAGATGTGAGGGTTCCTAAATAATCTTCCTCCTAATGAAAACCAACACTTTAGTCTTAGAATAATTGATACTAAAAAGTTCCTTGGTGTTATACAAAGAGCCTCAAAAGTCACTTTAAACCAATGCTAACTAAAGTGTGATACCCAGTGTGTTATAGTGGATAGACTGACCGACTAGAACTCTGGAGACCAGAGTCTGAATCCCTACTCAGCCATGGAAATGCACAGGGGGAGCGGAACTGGTAAAACCACTTCTTAAATATCTCATTTACTTTGAAAGCCCTGTTAGGATAGCTATAAATTGGTTCTAATTTGACAGCACATAATAACAATAACAAGTGAACACGTACTAACAAGTGAAAATATATTTTACTTGAAACACGTTTTAATAAAATCTGTAGAATATACTTGCAGTTCAAATCACTATGCCAAGAAATGAACTGAAATATACTATACCACCCTGAATATACCCAACATTCTCTGGTTTTGGCAGCTAGGTATGATTGGGCTTGGTTAGTATTTGTATGAAAAACCACCAGGCAATATCAATGATCTTCAATTAGATTAAAGAAAGAATCTAAAGCAAGTAAGAGAAGAGTTGCTAGTAGTGAGCTGGATGGTGCAACAATCTGACTGGATAAGACAGCTTCTAACTTTCCTGATTGTTGTTATGCAAATAGATACGAGTAACAATTATTTTTTAAAAAAAGAAAGAATTCCAAACATTACTGTAGCAGTTCTTCTTCTGTAAGTTCTTCTGATCTTTGTTCCCCAGTCACAATGGCCAATTCATCTTTCAGCTCCTGGATTTCCTTCTTAAGTCGTGATATTATCTGCAAAAATTAAAATGGTGTCACTTATTGAATGATAACAGTGGTGTCACTTATTGACTGATAACAATGGCATAACCTCGAGTTTTGCTGGAGTTCTTCTCTGGTCTTGTACACTTTCTAATTTTATATGTTGTCAAAATCCATAACTTGTTTTCACAAAATTATAAAATATTGTAAATTAAATTATATACTTTGGAACAATCAAATACCACATGATTCTGTCAAACGTTTTCTGTTGCATTTGTTGGGGGTATGAAAAATCACAACAAATACAGTAAATCTTGTATCTGTGGTACCACAAGTCTAACACAGCTTCGTTCGTTTAGTCGTTTAGTCATGTCTGACTCTTCATGACCCCATGGACCAGAGCACGCCAGGCCCTCCTATCTTCCACTGCCTCCTGGAGTTGGGCATCTGCAGTGATCATGGAGCCCAGGAAGATAAAATTTGACACTGCCTCCATATCTTCCCCTTCTATTTCCCAGGAGGTGATGGGACCAGTGGCCATGATCTTAGTTTTTTTGATGTTGAGTTTCAGACCGTTTTTTGCACTTTCCTCTTTCACTCTCATTACAAGGTTCTTTAATTCCTCCTCACTTTCTGCCATCAGAGTGGTATCATCTGCATATCGGAGGTTGTTGATATTTCTTCCGGCAATCTTAATTCCGGCTTGGGTTTCTTCCAGTCCAGCCTTCCGCATGATGTATTCTGCATATAAGTTAAATAAGCTGGGGGACAATATACAGCCTTGCCGTACTCCTTTCCCAATTTTGAACCACTCAGTTGTTCCATGACCAGTTCTAACTGTTGCTTCCTGTCCCACATATAGGTTTCTCAGGAGATGGATAAGGTGGTCAGGCACTCCCATTTCTTTAAGAACTTGCCATAGTTTGCTGTGGTCCACACAGTCAAAGGCTTTTGCATAGTCAATGAAGCAGAAGTAGATATTTTTCTGGAACTCTCTGGCTTTCTCCATAATCCAGCGCAAGTTAGCAATTTGGTCTCGAGTTCCTCTGCCTCTTCGGAATCCAGCTTGTACTTCTGGGAGTTCTCGGTCCACATACTGCTGAAGCCTACCTTGTAGGATTTTGAGCATAACCTTGCTAGCGTGTGAAATGAGTGCAATTGTACGGTAGTTGGAGCATTCTTTGGCACTGCCTTTCTTTGGGATTGGGATGTAGACTGATCTTTTCCAATCCTCTGGCCACTGTTGAGTTTTCCAAACTTGCTGGCATATTGAATGTAGCACCTTAACAGCATCATCTTTCAAGATTTTAAATAGTTCAATTGGAATGCCATCACCTCCACTGGCCTTGTTGTTAGCCAGGCTTTCTAAGGCCCACTTGACTTCGCTCTCCAGGATGTCTGGCTCAAGGTCAGCAACTACATTGTCTGGGTTGTCCGGGATATCCACATCTTTCTGATATAATTCCTCTGTGTATTCTTGCCACCTCTTCTTGACGTCTTCTGCTTCTGTTAGGTCCTTCCCATTTTTGTCTTTTATCATGTTCATCTTTGCGCAAAATGTTCCTCTAATATCTCCAATTTTCCTGAAGAGCTCTCTGGTCTTTCCTTTTCTGTTATCTTCCTCTATTTCTTTGCATTGTTCATTTAAGAAGGCCCTCTTGTCTCTCCTTGCTATTCTTTGGAAGTCTGCATTCAATTTTCTGTAACTTTCCCTATCTCCCTTGCATTTTGTTTCCCTTCTCCTCTCTGCTATTTCTAAGGCCTCGTTGGACAGCCACTTTGCTTTCTTGCATTTCCTTTTCTTTGGGATGGTTTTCGTTGCTGCCTCCTGGACAATGTTACGAGCCTCTATCCAAAGTTCTTCAGGCACTCTGTCCACCAAATCTAGTTCCTTAAATCTGTTCTTTACTTCCACTGTGTATTCATAAGGGATTTGGTTTAGATTATACCTGAGTGGCCCAGTGGTTTTTCCTACTCTCTTCAGTCTAAGCTTGAATTTTGCTATGAGAAGCTGATGATCAGAGCCGCAGTCAGCTCCAGGTCTTGTTTTTGCTGACTGTATAGAGCTTCTCCATCTTTGGCTGCAGAGAATATAATCAATCTGATTTCGATATTGCCCATCTGGTGATTTCCATGTGTAGAGTCGCCTCTTGTGTTGTTGGAAAAGAGTGTTTGTGATGACCAGCTTATTCTCTTGACAAAACTCTATTAGCCTTTGTCCTGCTTCGTTCTGAACTCCAAGGCCAAACTTCCTGTTGTTCCTTTTTTTTCTTTGGTTCCTACTTTAGCATTCCAGTCCCCTAGAATGAGAAGAACATCTTTCTTTGGTGTCAGTTCTAGAAGGTGTTGTAGATCTTCATAGAATTGTTCAATTTCAGTCTCCTCATCAATGCTGGTTGGTGCATAAACTTGGATTATTGTGATGTTGAATGGTCTGCCTTGGATTCGTATTGACATCATTCTATCCTTTTTGAGATTGTATCCCATTACAGCTTTTCCCACTCTTTTGTTGACTATGAGGGCTACTCCATTCCTTCTACGGGATTCTTGCCCACAATAGTAGATATGATAATCATCTGAGCTGAATTCGCCCATTCCTGTCCATTTTAGTTCACTGATGCCCAGGATGTCGATGTTTATTCTTGCCATCTCCTGTTTGACCACCTCCAGCTTACCAAGGTTCATAGATCTTACATTCCAGGTTCCTATGCAGTATTTTTCTTTACAGCATTGGACTTTCCTTTCACTTCCAGGCACGTCCACAGCTGAGCATCCTTTCGGCTTTGGCACAACCACTTCATTAGCTCTGGAGCTACTTGTACTTGTCCTCAGCTCTTCCTCAGTAGCATGTTGGACGCCTTTCGACCTGAGGGGCCCATCTTCCAGTGTCATATCTTTTAGCCTTTTGTTTCTGATCATTGGCCATTCTTGGCAAAGATACTGGAGTGGCATTGCCATTTCCTACTCCAGGTGGATTGCGTTTAGTCGGAACTCTCCACTATGTCCTGTCCGTCTTGGGTGTCCCTGCACGGCATAGCCCATAGCTTCTCTGAGTTACTCAAGCCACTTCACCACGACAAGGCAGCAATCCATGAAGGAGCTAATACAGCTACCCCTCTGCAAACTGCTATCAGATATATATACAATTTGGCAAATTAACATGGAACACCTGGTGCCAATGTCCATTCTTGCTGTGTAACTATAAATTATAACTCAAAGACACTGGTTTTCTGTGCATATATAGTTCTGGATCATTCTCATTATGCTTTTAATATCTTTATTTTATGAGGCTGAAATCCTAAAGATACCTACCTAGAAGCTAGGTTCAATTGAATGCAATGGAACTTACTTCTGGCTGAGCCAACTTGCATACAGTACTACAAGCCAATTTAACAACAGTAGAGGTGGGAACCTTTTGGCTCTCTAAATATTGTTGAACTGCAACACTGGTAGGTTAGCTAGTGCAGGAAAGAGCTGCAGTCCAGTGTTTGGAAAATTCCTAGTCTGATCTATGTAACACACCAGTCTTAATAATCTTCTATAGCTAAATCAGTCTGTCCAGATATGATATTGATAGGAAAGTTGCTTATAAAGCCTTGCATTGTATATCAATCTAGCTTCAACGAAAGTGATGTTCTGAGATGGAACAAGATGTGACATATGGATATTGGTGCAAAGACTGAAACACTGAGGAAATATGAGATGACTGAGGAGATGATGTTTCAGAGATGCAACAACCATCAGGTAGGGGTACAGCATTATGCTCTTTTTCCTTACAACAACAACAACAACAACAACAACAACAACAACAACAACAACAACAACAACAACAACAACAACAACAACAACAACAACAACAACTGTGATTTGAGTAAATAACCATGGGGCTATAGATAGACTGGAGGATAGAATTTAACATTGGTAAAGATTATTGCTGTGTACAAAATGAAGGTATTTTAAATGGGATAGTTGGATGAATAAGTATGTTTGAAAGCAATGTTTTCAGATTACTTGAAACATGGCTACCTCTTCTAAAACAAGGACAAAGAACTTTGGTTTCTACTACCATATATCTGAGATATTGCCAACTATTATTTTTAAATGCAAATAGCTGTCATATTTCCTATAGACAATCATTAAAAGTCCTTACCAGTCTGGGGTCAATTTCTTCATTCAGAATAGCTTCATTCTTAATAAGGGCAACTCTCTGAGCAAATCTACAAGTTGATATAGATTCCTAAATAAAAAATAAGTTTTTAAAATGCAACCATATTGTAGATATGTGTGAATAAACTAAAGAAACCATTTTATACTACACAACAGCCTTGCTATATGGCCAATTACATTAATTCCAAATGAACTTTACACTGGAAGATAAACAATTTACATTTTCTCCTTTGTCTACTAGATCTAAACTGAGAGTGGAATTACATCATACAGAAAGCACAGTGTGCTAACCGAACATGTAGCCCCGTAACCTGTTCCCCTTCTTTTCTCCATGATGTTTAGGTCCCAAAATGCAATATTATCATGCATTTCTCTGCTTCATATTTGCTACTATTGTGGGTCTGGAAAAAGAGAAGGAAAAATGTCTTTCTTATGCATTTAAGGAATTAAATATTAAGAGGAAAAAAGACAGAAGGAACTGGATGCAGAAATTTTCTTTCTACTAACAAACTTTCATTCCATAATGCATACATTTTCAATCTAAGTCAGGGTAAGCTACCTGGCACCTTCCAGAAGATCTGAACTATAGCTTGTATAATTCTTGACTGCTGGCCGTATGGGTGGAGCTTAGGGAAAGTGTAAAAACTTCCATAAGTAGGCCATCAGTTACTTGCAAGCATGAAATGACATAACCTTGGTATATGCTTGAAAATGTTTATCTGTGTTTTTTAATTACAGACAATTTAGCAAAGCTAGTTGGTGATCTATCTAGGAGGCAAGCTAAAAAAAAAAGCACAACTACAGCTTTTTCAACATCAAGGCTGAAATTCTGTTGCTTAGCATAGTAAGTCACACTACAATAGGCCCCAAAATCCGTGGGGATCCGGTGAGTCAATTCCTGTGTAAGTTTCATTGATTCAAATGAGCCTACTCTAGATGCAACTAACATTAGTGTACTGTACCAAGTCACAACTAGAATAGGCCCATATCAATCAATGGAATTCACAGAGGAGCAGACTCATCAAATCACTGATTCAATGGCCTTAGTATAGTGCAACTGACTACACAAAGCAACAGAACTTCAGCCTGTTTGTTGAAAAACAAAATTAATCTTGTTCAATGGCCTAAAATTGTTTAAATTTGTTTTAATTGTTTTTTGTCTATGTTAGGTGATGTAAATTTCTTTGCTGTAGCCTATATATTCCTGGCAATATGCTACAATGCCTGCAGAGATACTCAGAATCTTACCTTTGAATGTGGCTTGGGGATAAATAATTTCCTCCTCCCTGTTGCCTCCAGATGAAAAAAGGTTGTAGCAGGGTTTTTTGTAGGTGTTAACATTCATTATCAGAGGTGGGATCAAATCCTGGACAATGACAGGTTGCCTACCTATAATTGTAGTTGTTCGAGTGGACTTCTGTGATTCACACTGTGGGTGATCCACACATGCGTGGAGCCTCATCAAAATATTCTAGAGCTTCTGCAGTAGCAAAAAGATATATTAATGCAGACCTCTCCCCCCTGGTATATGCAACTTTGTGCCAAGGCTCTCCCTTCAGTTAGGTCAACCGTCACATAAAGAAAAGAGTGTGACAGTGGGGAGGCCAGGTCGAGATGTGTGAATCACCGAGGTCCACTCGAAGAACTACAATTACAGGTAGGTATCCTGTCGTTCTTCTTCATGGTCTCTGTGAATCACACTGTGGGTGACTATCAAGCTACGTTACACGGAGGAGGGTGTCACGCCAAGGTAGATAATAATACAGCATGCCCAAAAGCAGCATCAGATTTCTGCTGAATGTCCAATCGATAGTGATTGATAAATATGGACAGCTGTGACCATGTGGCAGAGGCGCAGACATCAGCAAGGGGCTCCCTCGAAGAAACACTGTAGATGTCACCAACACCCTGGTGGAATAAGGGTGGATACTATGTGGCGTTGGAACACGAGTGAGCTGATAAGCAGGCTAGATAGTAGACAGATATTAGATGGATGTTGGGGCCACTGCAGAGCTATTAGAACAACGTTGGGCTTGTCTTGTTGCAGGCGGACTATGACCTTGTGGAGAAGTGGGAATGGTAGAAAAAGGTAAGTGAGTGATCTGGGCCAACGGCTGACAAATGCATTGCTGCAGGACTTCTTTTCAACTCTTGTGTGGGAACAGTAATGTTTGCACTTCTGGTTTGTTCAGGCGGCAAAGAGGTTGATGGTGAGTGTGCCCCAGGATGTGCACAGGGAAAGAAAAAGACTCTGACCTAGTTCCCACTCATGGGCTTGAGATTCTTTGCGACTGAACAGATTTGCCAAATTGTTGTCCTGACTGGCTATAGGTATTGCAGCGAGACAAATGTGATGGGAGAGGCACCATTCCCACAGGTCAACAGTGAGATATAGAAGACTTGGGGAGTGAGCGCCCCCTTGTTTGAGAATATAGTACATCGTGATGGTGTTGTCTGTGGCTATTTGGATTATTTTGCCAATAAAATGGTTCTTGCAGGCTTTTATTACTGCTAAGAGTTCTAGCTTGTTGATGTGGAGCAACCTTTCTCTTTGTAACCACTGGGTATAAATTTGTAGGAATCGGCAGTAGGCATCCTAGTGGGCAAGGCTGGCATCTGTGGTAACCTGTATTTGTGGACGGGGTTGTGGGAAAGGTCATCCCATCATCAGGTTTTGAGCGGAGCGCCACTATGAAAGCTGAGAGGCGAGTTCTGGAGTGACTTGCAGCAGAGTAGGTGGTGGGTCTGTCAGCACGTTGAATAAGGCCAGGAACCATGCTTGAAGTGATCTCATTTTGAGGTGAACATGCTGGACTACAGCAGTCATTGAGGCCATAGTGCCTAAGACTCGTTGGACTGTTAACGCAGATAAAAGTGCATGAGGAGTGAAGGCACGGAGTGAAGAAGTTAAATTGAGATGTTTGTCTGTTGGGAGAAATGCTCAAGCGTGTTTTGAGTCTGTAACTGCTCCTATATAATGGAGTAGCCTTGTAGGCTTCAACTTGGATTTCTGGAGGTTTACTGCAAGGCCGAGATCTTATAGGAGAGACAAAGTGAATCCAATGTCTCACTGTGCTTTATGACAGGAGTGCGCTATGAGAAGCCAGTTGTCGATGTACGAAAAGATGTGAATTTTGTGAAGCCTGAGGTATGCCACCACAGGAGACATGCATTTGGTGAAAATCCGGGGAGCTGTCACGAGACCGAATGGAAGCCTTTTGAATTGGTAGGCTCCAGTTCTGAGTTGGAAGCATAGGTAGGGTCTGTGAGATGGATAGAGACATGAAAGTAGGCGTCTCTGAGGTCTATAGCTGTGAACCAGTCTTTTTTGCAGAGTAGGGGGAGGATGGAATTGAGGGTAACCATGCGGAATTTGGTAGTAGTGATATATTGGTTTAATTCTCTGAGATCAAGAATAGGGTGGAGGCCTCTGTCTTTTTGGGGGATAGTGAAATAATGAGAGAAGAAACCTTGGACTGTATAGCATAATGGTATTGGTTCTATGGAGTCTTTGAGTAATAACGACTGTACTTCACCCTGTAGAGTTTGTGACAGAGGTGTGATGGTGTGTGATGGTGGAGTAAGCTGGTGGAATTCTATGTAGCACCCATGTCTTATGATGGAGAGGACCCAAGCATCAGTGGTGATGTATTTCCATGCAGGTAAGTGCTTCCAGAGGGCAGAGGGAGAAGTGAGAGGTTGTATTGGGATCTCGGACAGTTGGATGTCAAACCTGATGTTTAGGTTTCCAGTCATTGTGCCTGGTTGTGGTTTGCTGTCGAGGTTTGACTCAGTAAGGTTGTTGTTTATAGTAAGGCACATAAGATGTTTGCCTCTGCGGTTCTTGTTGGATTTTTTTATAAGAGGTGTAAGGGCGGCACCACTGAATTTTGTTGATATCTGGGATAGACGTTCCAATGCATGACAGCTGTCCTCTTTTTCTGGATGCTCTCGAGAATGTCATCTGTCTCAGAATTGAAGAGGCCAACTCCATCGAAGGGGAGGTCTTCAATACACACACAGGCATCCTCTGTGAGACCCGCGGTTCTAAGCCAGGAGAATTGGTGGAGTGCTACAGAGGTAGCCATAGATTTTGACATGGCATCGACAAGGGTGTCTAGCAAACAGCAACTGTTGTTTGGCTACAGAGACCTTCTTGTTGAACAGTTTGTGCTAAGACCCTTTTTTCTTTGGGGAGTATATCAATAAATGTAGACATATTGTCCCAAAGAAAGTGTTGGTAGGCACCCATAGCTCCTTGACAGTTGGCAATGCCCATAGTAGAAGCGGCAGAAGAATATAGCCATCTGCCCATAGAGTTAATGCACCTGCTATCTTTATTGGGTGGTATCAGAACCAGTCAATGTCAAGAGCAAGATTGTGAAGCCTCAATAAAGATGGAATTAGGAGCCAGCTGCTTTTGCAAAATATTGCATCAGGATCATGCACTTGATAGAGGTTGTTGATGTGCTTCAACACGATGTGTGATGAGGCTGGTTTGGTCCAGGAATGCCTAGTTGTGCTAAGGAGAGATGGGAGCATGGAGATAAGGACCAGTGTGGTAGTGTCCTTAGATGATCTGCTGGCTCAGTAGTAGGTCTGTGGATTTGTAGGTCGAGGGATTTGGCCATACTAACCATTAGTCGAGCATAGGTTTGAAAATCTTCTGCCAGTGACAGAGGGTCCATCTCTGCTAGGTTGGAGTCTGGTGATGTTAAAAGTACTGATGGTGTTTGAGGTCTGGAACCGTGATCAGACAGTTCAACATTGTGCCGTGAGTTGATCAACTATCAATTGACATTGACGTTGAAAGGTTGGTTTTCAAAGTACAGGGATGCCTCGACTTATGAACTTAATCTGTTCCAGAAGATGGTAGTAACTTGAATTGGTCATAGGTCAAAGCACCATTTCCCATAGGAATTCACTGAAACCCCATTAATCTGTTTCAGCCGGGAATAAAAATCACCAAAAAACCCGCAACACCACAGCAAGTCCCATCAGAACACGCTGGGGCGGGAAAAAAATCACAAAAAAACCCCACAAGAAGCCCCATTGGAATGTGCTGGAGCCGAAAGAAATTGCCAAAAACTATACCCCCAAACAGAGCAAGTCCCATCGGAACATGCTGGGGCTGAAATAAAAACTGAAAAAACAACAACAACAACAAAAACCCAAACAGAGTATGCCCCATTGGAATGTACTGGGGCAAAAAAATCACAAAAAAACTGCAACACCACAGCAAGCCCCATCAGAATGCACTGAGTCGGGGAGGGGGAATGACAAAAAAACAACAACAACACAGCAAGCCCCATCGGAACGCAGGGCTGGGGAAAAAATTGCCAAAAAAATAAATAAATACAAAACCCCAAACAGAGCAAGCCCATTGGAACGCCCTGGGGCTGGAAAAAAAAAACACCAAAAAACAAAATAACACAGAACGCACTGGGGCTGAAAAATATCACATACACACAAAAAAACAAAGCAAGCCCCATTGGAACACGCTGGGGCTGAAAAAAAATCACACAAAAACAACAACACAGCAAGCCCCACTGGAACACGCTGGGGCCGGGGGGGGGGAAGGGTAAGTAACTGTGACGATCACCCATGTCACTCATGCCATTCATATTCATGAGCTGATTTGCATGAGCCTATGAGAGGACTGGAGAGGCAGAGTAAGCAGCTATATGAGGTTTGGCAGGAGAAGGAGGAGTGAGACAGGTCTGGTTAGTCAGAGGGGGGGAACAGATACTGAGAGATAGAAAGCTGGTTTGAAAATAGGTAGAGAAGGTGGTAATGATATAGTAAGAGAAAAGAAGAATGTACTGAGAGAACTGTTGATGATTTGCTTGTGTATAATGTTTATCTGAGAAACATCTGTTCTTATCCAATCAGCTTCACTTCAATAAATAAGTTCTCTTTATGTTCACAAGTCAAGTGTTCAGACAAACATCATTTATATTGTGGGATGAGATAATCCACTGGTGGCAGGAAGAGGAAAATGCAACGTGAGCCTTTGTGAGGGAAAGACAGGCAGGGGTCACAAGGGCGAATGCCACAATAACTTTCTTTCATTTTCAGAAAAAAACTCAAAGAAGCTATAGATCGAGGCTCTTAATATGGCGTTTGAAAAGAAACTGAAGGAAGAGCCTTGGCACCAAGGTACATATACCAGAGGGGAGGGTCTGCACTAATGTATCTTTTTGCTACCACAGAAGCTCTAGAATATTCCGACAAGGCTCTGTGCATGCACAGATCTCCCACAGTGTGATTCACAGAGGCCATGAAGAAGAAGTATGGTATTTCTGCTCCTCCTCTCCCACATCCTGACCTTCAAAACGGTGAAAGAGGAAAACTGAAAAATACATGCATAATGTTCAAAAAGAACGGCAGAGGCAAGTGAGCTGATTGGCAGTCAAGTCCAAAAATGTACAGTATCAATATGTAAGGTTCATAAATAGGATTATGAGTTCCTCTGATATGCCTCACAATCTAGGGTTTTATGCAACAATAGCATCAGTGTTACACATTGAAACACAGGATGAAAGTAAGTGGATACACTAAAAAAATTACATTGTGGGAAGCAAATTATAATGAGAAAGGAGAAAAACATACATCTATGTTCCTTTTTTCTATTGAGAGTGTTGCAATCATTGTGGTCATACAGTTTCCTCCTAGACTGTCCCTTAACACCGAGGTCATCATTGAGTTCCTGTAGGGAATATGAGACCTGTTTTTCTCTGACAGAGCAATGATTACCTGCAATAAGAATAGCAATTGAAAATATTTATTGAGCTCTTTATTATTTTGCTTTTGAGTATTTGAGCAAGTCCTTCTAACATTAGAAGCATTATTTTAAAATAATTGTTTATAATCATGGCACACGTTAAAACATACAACACACAGGCTAAAATCCTATTCGTATTACATAACTAGCAGGGAGAGATTTTCCATAATTAAAGTCCTACTCCTGTCCCATGGCTGTCATAGCTTCCACAGGATCAATCAATTATTCACGAATCTGAAAAGCCATGGAAGAGAAGGAAGATATTTTTAATTGCAGAACATCTCTCCCTTCTGGTGTTGTCATCACCACTCCAGGGGCTCAAGTTAGCCAACAGAAGTTCAGCCACTATAGATAAAGTCCATTTTAATCCCAACTTCAGCAGACCTGTTCAGTCAATGCGATTTAGATATGTGTTGCTTTAGCTCTTTGATCTTCAGAATTAACTCTGCTAGCAAGTACTTAAGATGGATGCATTCTAACATATGCATCAAGGCTCTATTATAAACTGTTTTATCAATTATCACCTCCTCCTCCTTGTATCAGAAGAGATATCATGGAATAGTAACATTACCATAAAATATATCTGTCAGTAAATACCTGTACTTACATACCATTCTTTAAATAGTTCTTTGTAAAGATACACAAATGAAATATATGAACAGATAGGGTAGAAAAAGAGCATGTTGTCTGTTGAGTGCAGGATCCAACATTGCCCCCAGGGACCTGACAGAGGCTGCATCCCTGGAAAATATATGACTTCACCTTTTCCCCCCAAAACTATAAGTGATCAGAAGTCAAACTCAAAATGAAGAGGTCAGAAACATCCCAGATCACATGCAGACCATGGGTCACCTGATACCCACCTATGAGATAGACTATGGAAAAGAATAAATAGCTTTTTCTCTTGCTTTTGCCAAACATGTAGGATCTCAGCTGCCTTGGTTCCTTCCCAGTGCTACAGAGGCATACAACTGATCTAAAGGATACTAAATAACCTTTCTCTTTTGTGGCTACTACACTCAGTACAGTACTACACTCAGTACAGTACCAATACTAAATAACCTTTCTCTTTTGTGGCTAGTGTATACACTACACTCAGTACAGTACCGAGTTCTAAAAGAAGTAGCTCAAGCAATGGACATTACTACTGGTCCAATGCTTGGACAAGTAGTTTCTTTATCAGTTTCTTTATTGGCAGGATGTCTACTACATGATGCTTGAGAAGATCAGAAAAGAGGACCATATGGAAGTTTGAAGTTGACACCAAGATCCCTTTAACCACTGCTGCTGAAGATGCTTGAGCTCATGTAAAAGCAGTTTGAATACCAATTGGCACTGTGACTTCATGACGGATAGCAGAAGAAGACTTGTGATTCTCAAAGTTGTTATCTGAGAAGAAGCATAAAGCCCCTTTGTTTGAATGCGTAGTATCAAAAATAGGCAGAATCATTTATTTATGAGGATTGATGTAAATACAAAGCAGGATGTAAGGACATTTAAAAAAAAGAAATATTGTACAAAGTATATTCAATTTGCTTTTAATGCTTTAGAGTACTTTCCAAGATCAGTGTTCCTTGGAATATAGCTATGTTTTATTTCCTTCAGTGTGTTTCTAAGTACAGTACACATTTACTGAATCTTGTGCCAAACTCTCATTCAACAAGTATAAACTATGTATGAATGGATCAGAAACTATACATACAGTATATCACAGAAGTGAGTACACCCCTTCACATTTCTTAAATATTTTAGTATATCTTTTCATGTGATAACTCTGAAGAAATGACACTTTGCTACAATGTAAAGCAGTGAGGATACAGTTTGTATAACAGTGTAAATGTGCTGTCCCCTCAAATAACACAACACACCGCTGGCAGAAAAAGTGAGTACACCCCTAAGTGACAATGTCCAAACTGGGCACAAAGTGTCAATATTTTGTGTGACCACCGTTATTTTCCAGCACTGCCTTAACCCTCCTGGGCATAAAGTTCACCAGAGCTTCACAGCTTGACACTGGTGTCCTCTTCCACTCAAGCTTCACAGCTTGCCACTGGAGTCCTCTTTCACTCATCCATGACGAGCTCACAGAGCTGGTGGATGTTAGAGACCTTGCCTATCTCTACCTTCCATTTCAGGTTGTCCTAACAGATGCTCAATAGGGTTTAGGTCTGGAGACATGCTTGGCCAGTCCATCACCTTTACCCTCAGCTTCTTTAGCAAGGCAATGGTCACTTTGGAGGTATGTTTGGGATTGTTATCATGTTGGAATACTGCCCAGTCTCCAAAGAGAGAGGATCATGCTCTGCTTCAGTATGTCACAGTACATGTTGGCATTCATGTTCACTCAATGAACTGTAGCTCCCCAGTGCTAGCAGCACTAATGCAGCCCCAGACCATGACACTCCCACCACCAGGCTTGACTGTAGCCAAGACATTCTTGTCTTTGTACTCCTAACCTAGTTGCTGCCACACATGCTTGACACTATCTGAACCAAGTAAGTTTATCTTGGTCTCATTGGACCACAGGACATGGTTCCAGAAATCCATGTCATTAGTCTGCCTGTCTGCAGCAAACTGGATGCAGGCTTTCTTGTGCATCATCTTTAGAAGAGACTTCCTTCTGGGACGATAGCCCTGGAGAACAATTTGATGCAGTGTGTGGCGTATGGTCTGAGCACTGACAGGCTGACCCCCACCACCACCCTTATGGTCTGAGCACTGACAGGCTGAAACCCCACCACCACCCTTTCAACCTCTGCAGCAATGCTGGCAGCACTCATACATCTATTTCCCAAAGCCAGCCTCTGGATATGATGCTGAGCATGGGCACTCAATTTCTCTGGTTGACCATGGCAAGGCCTGTTCTGAGTGGAACCTGTCCTGTTAAACCACTGTATGGTCTTGGCCACCGTGCTGCAGCTCAGTTTCAGGGTTTTGCAATCTTCTTATAGCCTAGGCCATCTTTACGTAGAGCAATAATTCATTTTTTCATATCCTCAGATAGTTCATTACCATGAAGTGCTATGTGGAATGACATTCATTTGGCTTATCAACTTGCTTGACAACCAGCCCCTAGAGTGGTTTGCCCTCATTCCACCAGGGCAGTGGCAGCCTCTACAGCCTTTCTCTGCGGTGTACCTTTTCTGGACGTCTGCACCTCTACCACTTGGGCACAGCCGTCCACGTTTATCTGCCATTATGGACTCGACCTCCAGCAAAAGTCCAATGCGGCATTCTAGCCTCTACCTTGGCGTGACACCCTGACTCCGGGTAAGATCGCTTATTAGTCACCCAGGGTGTGATTCACAGAGGCCACGAAGAAGAACGACAGGTTACCCATCTGTAATTGTAATTGTTTGAGTGGACCTCTGTGTTTCACACATCCTGCCCGTCCTCCCCTCTGTCATGCCACTGTTTGCTTACTCTTAAGTGGCGGTTGATACAACTGAAAGGGGACACTTGGTGCCAAGGTACTTATACGGGTGGGGAGGGGCATATTCTATTGTGTTTATTGCTACCACAGAAGCTCTAGAATCTTCTGATGAGGTTCCATGCAGGCGCAAATCACCGAGGGTGTGATTCACAGAGGTCACAAAGAACTTCCAGTGACTAATCTGAGAGAGTGAAAGTGATAACACCTGCTCCCCCTCCACACCTGAGACTTGTGACACTAACGGGTCTCATGACACTAAGGAGGGAAAACGGCTACTTGGGCCCAATTTGGACATTGTCACTTACAGGTGTACTCACTTTTGTTGCCAGTTGTTTAGACATTAATGACTGTGTTGCGTTATTTTGAGGGGACAGCACATTTATACTGTTATATAAGTTGCATACTCACTGCTTTACATTATAGCCAAGTGTCATTTCTTCAGAGTTGCCACATGGAAAGATATACTAAAATATTTACGAAATGTGAGGGGGTGTACTCACTTCTGTGATATACTGTATAATAACTAATAAGAATTAAATGTCCATTTCACACTCCATGATATAAACATGTAAACATCATGAAAAAAGGGCTGCCTTTGATTCTGGAACATAAATTCTGAAGCCATAATCAAACATAGAAGAAAACCAAACTGAACTTCTTCAACCAAAATGTTGAAATGTTTGCAAGATACGTGGCGCCTATCAGTCCTAATAATGTCAAAATGGCAGTTTTAGTGCTCTGAAGCCGAGTATTGCTAATGGAAGTTCAATAATGTTGAGACTCAGCACTCAATGAATTTTATCAGCCCATATTATTTGGCCTACATCGAAACTGGTGATCATTAATTTCATAGTACTTCCTTTGTACAGTGGCAAATATACTTTAACAATTATAACACCTGTGGAACTGTATATACTAAAATTAGAATGATACAGAAAAGATTAGCATGGCCTTAAATCAATACTTTTTTCTTAAATCAAGAAAATGGTTGGTTCCTTCATTTGGTGTCAAGACCAACATCTACAAGAGTTTCATAATAGTTTTCATTGTGACCAGAAAAAAATTCCTCTGAAAGGACTATAAATATTGAATCATCCAAATACAGGAATATGACATGTCCAGCTGCCATAAGGTCACCTACATTGTTCTATCTTAACTTTGTTGCCATCATCCAGTCCATCTTGCCTCAGAAGGCATGATATCTAACCACTGAAAGTGTACTGTTTACTCAAGATCTGGTCAGTCCAAGAGCAACAGTTTAGACACACAGAACAGAAGTAAATATTTGCAAAGATTTCTCATTTATGGAAGACCTAAATGTTCATTTTAAATATTATTATTTTATT